AAGAAGAACTCGCTTGGTACCCACCAGTCTATAATAGACCACTTTTCGGTGTGCTTCTTTCCATACATACCTCCCTGTGTGTTTACATCCTTTTTACTTTCTTTTTCCCTTTGGCTACTCTGTAATAACAGTGCAGTGGAGGATGCCCTAGGAAAATTTTCACAACTTTGCTAATCACACAGCTAAAGAATGGATCAGAGGCTATGCATGTTTTCTAGGCTTGGGAGAATACTTACTGCTTAATTGGTCTCTAAAAAGGGGGTATCCATTTGTCCCTTAATATCTAAGGATGCCTCTTTTCCTCAGCACTTAGTAACACATTGATTTTTTTTTTCCCCCACACGTTGGCTAATGTGATATGCTTACCTGATTTGGAAAAGAAGGAAAGCGTGCCTCTTGGCCACTGCCACAGCTAAAAATATATCTCACAGGACCTCTGCCCATCCTTCCTTAATATATAAGCCTTTCCAAAGATGGGGGTGGTAATAATATTAGATGCTGGGGGTGCTGGTGCATATGCCTGTAACCCCAGTGACTCAGAAGGCTGAAGCAAGAGGACTACAACATGGAGGCCAGCCTGAGCAACCTAATAAGACCCTGAATCAAAAATAAATAAAGGGCTCCGGATGTAATTCAGTGGTGGAGCGCTTGTGTGGCATATACAAGGCCATGGGTTCAGTCCTTAGTACCATTAAACAAAAAAGGCACTGCCACAGTTCTGTAATTAAAACGAATTTGGCCTAGTAGATGACAAGCACTTCTAACACCTCTTTGCTGGGCCCCTGTTACACACAATAATTCCTAAATTCCATATAGAATCATCACACTGTTTCCCATACTGTCTTTTTGTCTAACCTTGAAATGTTTGACTTGAAAGTTAACTGAAAACAAGACCATCTCCCAGGGCAACACCTAATCCAGGAATACTTTGCATTATATAGGTCTGATGTGAGACCCTTAGAGGAACTGCAATCCCCATTTTACAGGTGGATGTAAGTGATCAGAAAAGCTAAGGGAATTGTGCTGGCCAAGTAGCTGATGACCTAAGACAGGAATCTGGGTCTTTGAAGTTCAAGCCCAGTATTCTTTGGTTTTTTTTGTTTGTTTGATTGTTTTTTTGGAGACAGGGTCTCACTATGCAGTTGAGACTGACCTGGAACTCGCTATGTAGCCCAGGCTGGTCTCGAACTCACAGCGAACCTCCTGCCTCAGCCTCCTGAGTGCTGGGATTATAGGCGTGCGCCACCATGCCCTGCTAAAGCCCAATGTTCTTTACAATACATGGTGTCTAGTCCAGTTATATATTCATGTATTCATTCTATACACATTGGTGAGGGCTGAGGATGTGCAAGAACAGCCCGAGGTGTTGAGTATTCATGTGTGAGTCATATACATCCTGTCCTCAGGGAGGTGAGAGCCTGGTTCAGTACTTCCTTAGGCCACAGTGCATGCCAGCTCTGAGCTAAGTACACATCATTGTGTTCAAAGATTCGTAAGGCATGGGCTCTGTACTTAAAGAGTTCGTAGTGTGGGAGCAAATGAGTATAGATCTTGAAAGGATAAAAGCAAAGGCTTACTGCCGTGATAGCTGTTCCAGGGTGCTTTCCTCGAGAGTTCACATGTGACCGTCTGGTTGTTTCTTGGAGGTAGTTCCACCTGCGTCAGTTAACAGTACTTTTGACAGCAAGTAATAGAATTCTCATCAAGTAAAACTCCTAGCGGCCAGTGTGGCGTTGGGGCGAGCTCTGCGCACAGTGATGGCATAGATTCAGTGAAGCCATCCATCTGGGACCCAAATCACTGGCATCTCAGAGCTCTCTTCCAGGACTCACAAAGCCAAGTGTGTGCGTTTTGTTCAAATCCAGCAAAAGACAGGATCCCCCAAGCACGGACGCGAGCACTTTCTTTAGTCTAACTCAGCCATATTATCTATATTTTTATGAATTGGTAATCACCAGGAGAATACCTTATGCTCATTGGTCAAATTGTTTATAAGAGCAAATCCTCTCATAGTTTTTTCAAACTTTTAAGAAGAAAAATGTGTACAGCGTGATAAGTGGTCTAACCTTCAATTATAATTTTTATCAGTACTGGAGATTTAACCACTGAACTCCATCCCCGCCTTTTAAATTTTTTTATTTTGAGACCAAGTCTCACTAAGTTGCCTAGGTGGGCCTCAAATATGTGATCTTCCTGCCTCACTCATCCCCAGGAGCTAGGATAACAGGCATGGACGACTGCCCCCTAGTATTCAGTGTTGTGTAGATATGGAAATCTGAATCAAGATGCGTTCCATTTCTAGTATTGTACCAGAAAGCCCAGTTACACCGAAGCAATACAAAAATGCATAGTAATTTGCTACCCGGTCATGAAGTCTGGAGATTGAAACTTCCACATTTATGACAACAACGTATATTATGTACCTTTTCCCAAAAGCCCCCCTACATACTTCCTCTTCCATCTCGTTGGTTATGTGCCTTCCTTTAAGCTATCACACTAATGAGATACTGTACTTGGGCTTTACCAGTCTTTTCTGGCTCTGGCAACTGAGAGAGAAGCCCACCCTCCTTAACATATGCCCAAACAAGTAGTTTTTCATAAACAAAAGACTGGAATGGATGTAGTAAGACAGCCTATTTGCTCAAGATCAGTTTGACAATCAATTTGATCTAAATCCTACAATCATAACTTTATCCTATTTTAATATCTATATTAGGAAAGCATTAATCTCAAGCCCAATGTTCATCCTACTGTGTGTGGCAAAGAACTAGCTTTTTCTTCCAGTTACCACAGACGAATAGAAAAATGAAGTTTAAAAGGGGGGGGCTCTAAACAGGCACTTTCAAGCCCAAAGTTTTGATTACTAAATTCAAAGGCTGTAAGCTCCTCTGTTGCACTTTCAATTTCTGTCCTTATCTCAGCGTGGCCTTTTGGGTGGGTGAGCAGAGTCAGCTCCACACTTGGAAGGTGCCGTATGACTAGCTGACTGTGTAATCTGGCCCCAGCCTGCCCCTGCTGTCTCATGTCATGCTGCTCTTTTGATTTGCCTATGACAAACAAGCTGTTCTTTGTTACCAGATTATGCCATGTATTTTTGCTTTGCTTCTGGGCATGACTTCACATTCTGTTCTTTCCTCCTGGAATGCCGTCCCCTGGTTGCAGAGCACCTACTCATGTTAGACCAGCTTAAATGTCACCCGGCCGGTGACACTTCTAAAGCTTTTGCATCTCCATCAGTATTTTCTTTTCAACCTTCCTTATTTCATAGGGCTGCAGTTTTTTTCTGTACCACAAAATTTCTTGAAGGTCTCCTTTTTCATCCCTATATGTCATTGACCCATACACTTTGTCCTGACTAAGCGCTTACTGAGTTGAATCAGCTCAGCACATTATGTGATTTCTGTTTCCTTTTGTTCTTAACCAGATACTTTTCACTCTTCTGCTTTCATGTTGGTGGATTTCCTTATAAGGACATAACTATTTTGATACATACTAAAAATTTTTCCCTCTTTTGTCAAATCTGAGTTTAAAAACAAAGGAGGTGCAACTTCCCATTGTCTCACTCTGATCACAGGTCCTGTCCCACCGGCATCACTGTCACTACCTGCCACTGTGTCCTTGACATACATGCCCCCCAGCAGTGCACCCCAGGCCCCTGTATCAGCAGATATATATAGCTGAATGTAAACTCCCACAGTACCTGGTAGGACGCCTTAGGCTCACGCTGACCTAGGCTTCAATCCCTATGCATATACTTGCTCTGTACCTTGGGGAAGTTCCCGAGTTTCTCTAACTCATTTTTTAGTAAAAATAAAGGTATCTTAGGATAATACTATGGGAAACCGTAGTTGCTTGATAAATGTTCATATGCTCGGCTCAGATACACATAAGAGAATGGGCATCAGGTCAAATGAGCAGAAGATAGTGGATCTGCCTGTCTCTTTAAAGAGCCAAGGCCAGCCCATTGGGCAGGTTGTCAGAGAAGGAAGACTGCTGTCAAATTCCAGCTTGGGCAAAGCCTCGGCTACTCCCCTGCTGCTGCACTCTGACTTCCTGCTCACAGCTGGCAGGATGCCTCCTCTGGGAGCTCAGGACTCTGTGACTGAGGGTGCTAGATGAGCAGCTCCTGTGTGTTAGAGCAGGTGGGTTGGTTGGGAGACAGGATAGTGGCATATGGAAATCCCCAAGGTTCAGGCCAGACGTCCAGATCCTTGCCCTGAGGGAGGCTTGAGGGCATTTCTTTAAGCACTCCAGCCCTTCTCCTTTACCTCAGCTTCTCCTCTACCCCTGCTTAACTTTGGAAAGAAGGAAGTGCAACACATGCTTGTTTGTCAGTTGATTTTGATTAAGTTGAAAACTGGCTTATTTCAGTATGCCATCCATGTTCACATCCCCATGCCTGTGCTTCTCCATTCTCACCCCAGAAATGCTGTCTTCCTTTTGCCTACCGTAGCCCTATACCTCACCAAACACCAGATCTGTCTTCCTCCCCATCATCCCTCTTCCTCCTAAATTACTACGGTTCATTAAATGGATCCCTGTTTATTGTGCTTTACACAATAACTGGTATGGATCTCATCCTTTATGTCCACATACTGTGCTAACCACTTGGAACAGAGTATTTGACGGTCTAGGGTTCAAATCCTTTGTTCCCTGTGACAACATGTTCCTCTTTGAGTCTCAGTTTCTTTTGTAATAGCTAATGAGTAAGTGTATAAAGTGCCTGATGTAGATCTGGCACTTAATCGGTGTTTAATAGATAGAAGTTATAATTTAGAAATATTTGAGTGGGGTGATGATCCAAGCAATGAATGACCACTTATTAACTTACTGCATCCAGATATATAGGAAATCGGTTTAGAATTTACAAAGCTGTTTTACAGTACTTCCATGGAATGGGTATCAGATAAATGCCTAATGATATTGACAGTTGACTTCAAAGCTTTCAAGGGCTTTTCTGTCTTCATTGCTAAGACTTTTCCTGACAGTAGTCCCCATGCTGCCTTCCCTCTGGCCGTCCCCACAGGGAGCTCTGTGCAGTGTCCCGCCTGCTGTGTCGAGGTAAACTCTATGCTTGCTCTCACTTGTCCCTTCTAGCCCACCTCTCTGGCCCGAAGTCTTATCTTGTCCTCTGGGACGTATGCTGCATGCTCTGCCAGCCTGCCTGAGTGGCTGGCCTGTTTTTTTTCACTGCCAGCACTTCTTGGATTCCAATTCCAAACATGGTATCCCTCTGGGGTCACCCTTTCTTCCGGTGCCAAGACAGAGCGCATTCCAAATGGAACACAAGTGTGCCTCCCATGCTGGGCTCTCTGCATTCTGCTTGGGAACAACAGAGAGCAGGATGTGGCTGCTTCAGCCCGCACTGCTCAAATTTTCAGTCTCGGTGTCCTACCTTTCTCTCAGAACAATTGAGGTTTTCTGTTAGGGACCAAATGTGAAGACTGTACTAAGAAACCTGGAGCCAAGGAAGTTTGCCAAAGCTGTGCAGGGAGGACTGCGGCCTTGCTGAGGCAGAGAGAAAGTTTTGAAATTTTCTGTGCGGTGTACTATGTTCTGGCTTTCAGCCCCAAAACCACCAGGAGCATTCCTGCCAGCAGAGGAGGAGCTGGTGGTGAGAAGCCGCAGGTGAGAAGATATCTGGGAGAACAGATTAATTCATCTGAGTCTCCCATTTGGGGACCGCATCAGAGCCCAGCAAGCCTTTGAGCCACCCCAGAGTCAGGCACCGACACCGGCATGGCAGGCCAGCTCCTCTGGCAGGAGCCTGTGTGCATGAGCTGGAAGCAGGATCTGGAAGGGGCTGTTTACCACCTGGCCAACTGCTTCTTGCTCCTGGGCTTCATGGGGGGCAGTGGGGTGTATGGGTGCTTCTACCTTTTTGGCTTCCTGGGCACAGGCTATCTGTGCTGCGTGCTGTGGGGCTGGTTCCATGCCTGTGGGCTGGACGTCGTCCTTTGGAGTTTCCTGCTGGCAACGGCCTGTCTGCTCCAGCTGGCGCACTTGGTGTACCGCCTGCGGATGGACACCCTCCCCGAGGAGTTCGACCTCCTCTATAAGACACTGTGGCTGCCCCTGCAGGTGCCCCTGCGCACCTACAAGGAGATCGTTCTCTGCTGCCAGGAGCAGGTCTTGACTCTGGTCACAGAGCAGACCTACGCCGTGGAGGGGGAGACACCCATCAACCGCCTGTCCCTGCTGCTCTCGGGCCGGTAAGCACCCTATCGTCATCTGTTCTGCCAGCATTTCTTCCCCGGCCCACACTTCCTCTTTCCAAGTGATCCTTTCCATTTCATGTCCTTTCTGTGAGGGAAGGATGTGGCAAGGTCCAACAAACCAAAATAGATTCTTCTAGGAATGAGTTTACTTCCTCTTAATATTTTCCAAGAGGAAACTAGATCAAGAGATCTCTTTCTGGGCTGAAAGAAAAACGACTTCATGTGCACTTGCTGCAGGCAGATGTAGAATTCAGAGCCACAGTGAACACACACACACGCACACACACACACACACACCAGTGTGCCATTACATGACCTCTAAGCTGCAGAAATGTCTCTGCAAGCCTTAGAAAACTGAACATTTCAGCAGGATTCCTGTTTTCCTTCCATATGCCTTCAACATTTGTTAAGTACCAACTATGTGTAGGAAACGAGGCCAGAAAAAGAGATTTTTTCCAGTATTCCCTGTTTCTTGCCAGTTCATCGAAGAAAAAACCATTTGGGTCTGGGTGTCCTGTGCCAGTTCTGAAGTGTAGCCACTCTGTGGATAGCCAGGTGGGAGGGAAGAGCTTTTGTCCACTTCTCCATTCCCACTTTTTTCTGTGATTTCTTTTTTTTTTTTTTTTTTTTTTTTTTTTTTTTTGGTACTGGGGATTGAACTTGGGTCCTTGCACTTGTGACGCAGGTAGTGAAACCACTGAGCTAAATCCCCAGCCCTCTGTGAAGATTCTTGCAGGTCAGGGAATCCAGTCCCAACTCTGAGGCTCCCACAGTGACAGAAGAGGAGTGATGCATGTCTCACTGAGGTTTTGGTGGAGACTGACAGATGTCAGCAGCAGTGGTCTCAGTGTATGCCCAGGGCGGCCATTGACACCCAATGAAAAACACCATGGCGCTCTGTGCTGCACACTTTGTGGGCAGTTGTGTGTTATTCTTTGAAATAGTGTCCTAGAGGCACTTGTCTAACCTCCCCCACCCTGCCAGCATGCTTGAGCCCAAGAAGGTAGTTGAAAAAAACAAGGTCATCAGAGGGCTTTGATTCAAAGAAAGAAAGAGAATGAGTAGGACCAGGGATTTAGCTCAGTGCTTCCACCACAGGCACAAAGTCCCAAGTTCAATCCCTGGTACAAAAACAAACAGAATGAGAGAGAGACAGAAAGGGAAAAGAAAGGAAAGAGGGAGCAGGGGAGAGAGGAAAGAGGGAGAAAGAAACAAGACTATTGACCATACAGTGGGGGAAAAGGCTTGGTAATGATGACAATTGTACAATAACTACTAATAGAAGTAAAACACATTTATGTATTTATAGAACCCAAGGTCTTACAGATATAAGTTGTGATTTTTATGGAACTCAGAGGTCCTGAGTTGAATGGGCAATAAGGGGCGAGGTCTTGAGGAAAGACATTTCATTTCATTTATAAGTGAGTTGAAAGTGCAAACAAATGCAGTTATTGGCCAAAAAAAAAAAAAAAAAAAAAAAAA